GCCATCATGAATGAGACTGCCTAGATATGGGAGGAAAGAGTATATGCTAAAATGTTCAATGTAGTTTCCCATAAAATCTGGTTCTTCCTGTCATGTACAGATGACCCTTCCTTCCTCAGTATAACAGATATTTTACTATTTTCATCAGTGTAGCTATTCCTTTTCTGTAAATGGTCTGCACATAAATGGAGATCATGGTGGATTAGACAATTGCTTTTCTAGCCATGATTTTGTAGTCTGCTGTGATCCAGGGAAGGAAACAAGTTTGAAAGGAATAAATGTAGATTATAGAAAAGGAAGCAAGTGAATTGATGATACCCGAGTGTCTGCCACTACCTGCTCCTATTTTCTCTAGGAAACTATGCTCAGGAAACATGATGATGCACTTGGAGAAGTTTTATAGCACAGTCACTGCACAGATATTCCTTGGGCTTTTTCTCAACTAAAATACATTGTTTCCATGGGCCAACTCAGGCAACAGTCCACCCAGTATAGCTCTTTTTAATGAAATGTTTTCTCTAGTCTCAAAAGCAACTTTTATAAAACAGCTTGTTAATACATTGGGGATTTCCATGGTCAGAAGTGTGTTACTTGTGGGGTCAGAGATTCATTCAGGATTTGGGAGCCTGCAAAAATGTGGAATCACAAAGTCATTAGGGATGGTAAGGTAAGATGCTCCAAAGAAGTGAAACTGAAAAAGTCCGAGTTTGGAAATGTATAGCTAGTGACGAGGTTAGCAGTGCCTCATTCAGTGAACAGTGCCTATTCAGAATGTTGGGAAGCACAGTCAGTGGCCTAGACCCTTATAACTCCAAATGTGGTCCTAGGACCAGGAACATCAGCATCAGAAATGCGGAATCTCCGCTTCTGCTCCAGACCAAACATATCAGAGCCCGCATTTAATAAATGAGATCCTGAGGTGATTCTTAAGCACATAAACATTTAAGAAACACTGCTCTGTATTACTCTTTCAAGAAGTGTAGCGATAGAGGGTAAGAGATAGGGTAAAAGCCATAGGAGAGGGAGAGATTGGAAATGGAAACCCAAGAGAAAGAAGATCCCAAAAAGAGAAGGGAAAAGATCAAGAGGGCTGAATAACTTGAAAAAAGAGGTGTGGCTCTTTCTTTGCTGATAAAAAATAGGAAAGAGGGCTGGAAGAAGTGTGAGACCAAAGGCAGAAAACTGAGAAAATTCTGTGGGCAATGACCCAGTTCTCTCCAGTAAAACTGATAGCAAAGGCTATGAGAAGGAGAGAGGTTTTACGCCAAACAATATTCCATAGTTTATTTTTTTAATATTTTATTTTATTTATTCATGAGAGACAGAGAGAGAGAGAGGCAGAGACACAGGCAGAGGGAGAAGCAGGCTCCATGCAGGGAGTCCGATGTGGGACTCGATCCCAGGTCTCCAGGATCACACCCCGGGATGAAGGTGGCACCAAACCACTGAGCCACCGGGGCTGCCCTATTTCATAGTTTAAATGGGCTCCAGTTTAAAGGACATTTACTTTTGATTAACACTTCTTTGCATTTTCCCCATAACTCCTTTAAATAAGTATACATCAATGTATTAAAATATTAAAACCTCACTGGCCTTTTACAATAAAACTTCCATTTCGACAAGCAGGTGATGAGCCATGAACTTCACTAGGACCAACATTATATGCCTTGATGACAGATAAAGCCATATAATATCATGGATACAAAAATGTGTAAAAACTTGAAAGAACAGTAACTTTAGAAAAATCATCTTTACCTATAGTTTTTATGTCTACAAAGTTTGATAAATCAATAAAATGATCTGAAAAGTTCATTTCACAGTCAGATATATTAGTGATTTACTTCATTGGTTTTCTGATGACCATTTATCATGAGGTAGAGCATCTTCAGAATGAATGGTGGAAACAAAAAATTTGATGTGCGTGCCTCTTAGATAAACTAAGTATTTGATTTATAAGACACAAACGAACAAACCACTATGGCCTGTCATGTTTTTCCAGTTTCTAATTTATTCAACCTCTGCTCAATATTGATCCTGACAAGCAGAGTAACCCAAAGATAAATTTATTCACTCTACAGTTTAGTCAGAAACAAGCCAAAAATTATAGATTTTCCCAGGCAGATGATGACAAGCAGTCAGGAGGATGACAAATGGCTGTCTTTAGATTTAGTTAGGACAGTTGGACCAGACATTTCCAATAAAGATTGGAGCATGCTGGTCAAATACAGGTTCATCAGTGACCATCATTAATTGTAGAACAAGCACTGCCAGTTACTGCAGGCGCCTATACAGGACCTTGGGCACCAGCCCTGCATGGGAAATAGAATCAGCTCTTCAGTATTTTGCAGCACTCCTCTAAGTGATAGCATGACATGATCATTTATCAAACAGAGACTGTCCAGAAAAGTGTCTGCTCCCTATAGTAACATTGAAGGGCAGGAAAGCGAAAGCATTTTATTAAAGACAGGAAGGCAATGAACTACCAGAGCGTATCCAACGGGTAATCATATTTCAGCACAGGATTAGTTTAGTCTTAAATAAACATACACTGGAGGGAGTGTGTCGCGGGTCATTTATCAAGCAAGGAACAATTAACAAAACTCTACAGGATTCTTTTTATCTATATAAATTTAAGATTTTCTTATTATTGTTATTACTGAACTTTTGGACGATGGGCGTCACATTCAACACTACAAAATGCAATGCACAATTCCTTCCTTAAAGTTTCTTAGACTAAGAGAAATACAGTGAAATTCCAATATAAAATAATCATGGCTGTATCAAATGCTGCTGAACAAATGCTGCGGATGGGGCATAATCTAGCTCCAATACTGAAGGATGAAGTTAAAACTTTTGAAGAAAGCTTTCTTATAAGAAATCAACTACTAAGTCAGAAGCTTATTCTTTCTTACAATAATTTTTGCTCTCTACTGACCAAAATTAAGAAGTTATTAGCTGAGGGGTGGTAGGGCAGACAAAAAGAATTAACATATTACTTAACTTCTTTGTTCCAGGCACTTCATATGCCACAACAACTAATCCTAACTATTCACACTTTATACATGAAGACACAGACTTACAATAATGCCAGGAAGGCTGGGATTGTATTTTTAAAAAAAAAAAAACTCCAATATATTTTTCACAAATTATTTATTTGGATAACTCAGAGTCTAGTACAGAACTGAGACCATGAATCAATAAGTATTTTGTTGAATAATGAAGTAGATAGAACTGAAATATATATTATATATATATTTTTAATTTATGATAGTCACACACAGAGAGAGAGAGGCAGAGACACAGGCAGAGGGAGAAGCAGGCTCCATGCACCAGGAGCCCGACGTGGGATTCGATCCCGGGTCTCCAGGATCATGCCCTGGGCCAAAGGCAGGCGCTAAACCGCTGCACCACCCAGGGATCCCTAGAACTGAAATATTTTTACCATTTTATGTAGGAAGACATTGGTCTCAAGAAGATTAAGAGAACTACCTACCAGATGCTCTGTAGTGGGTCCTAGATAGCCACCCAGCTGTCCTTGTGTTTACTCCCCTAAAACACCATCCCTTCATGTAGGTAGAGGCATATATCCGGATATTCCACATTTGTTACCTCCATGATATGACAGAATTTTGCAGGAATTTTTTTCATGTAAATTCTATGCCCAACGAGGGGCTTAAACTCACTACTGTGGGGTCAAGAGTCACATACTCCACCAACTAAGCCAGCTAGGTGCCCCTTGTGGGCATTTTTAATATGTGGAAGGGAACTGTTGTCACAGCTCACAGTAAAAACAAACAAAAAAACAAAAACGATTTTCCGGGGTGCCTAGGTGGCTCAATCTATTAAATGTTCAACTCTTGCTTTAGGCTCAGATCATGATCTCAGGCTTGTGACATCAAGCCCCACATTGGGCTCCACACTAGGTGTGGAGCCTGCTTAAGATTCTCTCTCTCCTTGTCCCTCCGTCCTTCCCCAACCTCTCTAAAAAAACAAAAATAAACAAGAAAATGATTTTCTAAAATCTAAAGGATAAATGCAGTCTTACCAAAAGAAATTTTCACAAAAATGGAAAAATGAAATATTTAAGTAACAATAAACATGGATTAAGCAAAGAATAAGATGGGAGATACAAATAAGATATACAAGGTTGAAAGGTATCAAGCTTTATTTTTTTTAAAGATTTTATTTATTTATTCAGGAGAGACACACAGAGAGAGGCAGAGACATAGGCAGAGGGAGAAGCAGGCTCCCTGTGGGGAGCCCGATGTGGGACTCGATCCCAGGACCCCGGGACCAGGACCTGAGCCAAAGACAGACACTCAACCACTGAGCCACCCAGGCGCCCCGGTATCAAGCTTAAAGGTGTGGAAATGATACTGGGAATAAAAATACCAAGCAATGCATTGCTAATTGCTTTCAGCTTTGCAATTAAGAACATTATTAATTAATCTATACCTTGTATTTCTTAATTGTCCCTTATATCCTATAATTTTGGTCTTGGCTTAAGGAGAACAAATGGAAGAATCATAGGTGTTTGCCTGCTGCTATTCTCCAGAATTTTCATTAACTTTGTAGTCCTCACCACCATATTCTCTCTCTTTTTTAAAAGATTTTATTTATTCATGAGAGACACACAAAGAGAGGCAGAGACACCGGCAGAGGGAGAAGCAGGCTCCCTGCAGGGAACCTGATGTGGGTCTCGATTCCGGGACTCTGGGATCAAGCTCTGAGCCAAAGGCAGACGCTCAACCACTGAGCCACCCAGGTGTCCCCTTACCACCTTATTCTAAAGATTAGTTTATTCCTCTAGATGTGTACAAGATCAGTTAGTAGTAAAGACCATTTTATCCAAAAAAGTTTTATGGTACACCTTCTAAGTACGTAGAAAAGCAGTAATTAGAGCTAGAAAAGCAGTAATTACCTTTAAAAACAGTTTAACTTATATGAAAGAAATGCTGATGATTATGAAATATTTGTGTTTTGCTTTTTCTTCTCGATAGGACTTGGAATTTTTACTGAACAAATTGATGAAGCTGTGGAAAATGGATCTAAATGGAAATCCTGTTTGTCTCAAACCAAAATACAGAGACAGACTGATACTGGTGTCCAAGTCACTAGGTATACATTTATATTATATTAATATAATTGTCTTAGAGAAAGAGACCTGGTTAAACATTTTAGTTAATTAACAGCAAGCCTTAAAAAATATGAATATGATGTCTGAATCTACAAACACGGTCAACTTTAAATTCAATATTTTAAATAAAAGCAAAAGTTAAAATTGAGAAAAAAAAACATGAAAAATATCTGCTGTTCAGAAATAATTAAGGCACCACATACCCTTTCTTTAAAAATGTATAGAACTTGCTGACCTTTGGCAAATTCTCATTGGCACAAATCCTCTGAAGATCCCAAGAGACTCTTTAGTTCTTGGATCTGTAGATAAAATTAATCAAAGTTTTCATTGCTTGACAATTGCCCTAGAAACATACAGGGTTCCTTTCATTTGAAAGGGGAATAAGGTAGGGAGGCCCTTTATGAGCTCCTTAGAAATAATAACACCCTGATTATGCACTATACTGGGGGTAATGGACCACAGCTCTTCAACACGGGCCAAGATATAAAACATCAGAGATACAAACACTTCCTTCTCACAAAGGAGATTCATTAAAGAGTTTCCTATATCTGAAATTCTATGACATGCTATACTTGAGTATAAAAACTAATGCATGGCAAAAACATTTCAAAGCTCATAGCTGTTGTAAACCTTAATTAATCAGTATGCTAGTGCAGTGGTTCTTTGGGGAGAGGGAGAAGCTGACAAAGACTTTATCAGAAAAATCCAAGATTTCTCAAAATACATATGCAAAGGTCACACCCTGCTCGCCACCCCTGATCCCACTAGCCAAGGGAAGGAAATAGAGAATACACCAGAACAGTCATGTGTATTTTTTATAAGTTGTACAGATGAATCTGCAATGCACATTCCCCCAACTCTCCATCTCCTTCCCTTCCTGCCCACCATACACAACAATATTAGTTCACTTTCCTTAGGCAGCAGAGTAAATATAACTAATGTTAGATGATTAAGAATCTTCCTATGTTCATGAAACCATTTCTGGGAAGTACTGTAGGTGATGTAGTAAAGGATGTGGAGCTAAGGTACTGATCTGCAAATAAATAGGATTTAGTCAATTTTTACAAAAATAAATCTTTTCTAAACATATTTTGTGATTATAAGATTAATACATATTTCTTTTTTTTTTATTTTAAGTAGGTTCCATACCCAGCGTGGGGCTTGAACTCCCAATCCTGATATCGAGTCACATGTTTCACCAAATGAGCCAGCCAGTCACCCCTAAAATTAATATACATTTCTTATAAAAATATAGAAAATAAAATTATATCATTCATAATTCCACCATAAATCTGTTAGCATTTTAGTATATATGTCCCTTCAATCTTTTCTCTTTGGTTCTAGCTTGTCTTATTTTCCTTTTTTTTTAAACGTATCTTTTTAAATTTATTTTATTTTATTATTTTTATTTATTCATGACAGACTCACAGAGAGAGAGAGAGGCAGAGACACAGGCAGAGGGAGAAGCAGGCTGCATGCAGGGAGCCTGACGTGGGACTCTATCCTGGATCTCCAGGATCATACCCCGGGCCGAAGGCAGCGCTAAACCGCTGGGCCACCAGGGCTGCCCTTTTTTTTATTTTTTAAAGATTTTTGTTTATTTATTTGTAAGAGACACAGAGAGGCAGAGACACAGGCAGAGGGAGAAGCAGGATCCCTGCAGAGAGCCTGATGCGGGACTTGAGCCTAGGACCTCGGGATGATGCCCTGAGCCAAAGACAGACGCTCAACCACTGAGGCATCCAAGGTGTCCCATTATTTTCATGTCCTTTTTTCTTAAATGCAAAAACAAAAAACAAAAAGTGAATTGAGGACTTCGTTGATGTATCCCAATAAGGACTGTGGAAAGTTGTTTTGTAAGTAACTCAGGTCTCACCAAACAGAATAACAAGCCACACATTTGGTTTACTTAGCCTGAGTGGAAACAAATTTTGTGTTGAGAACAATTCATTAAAACAAATCTCAGAGGTCTCTGATCTTATGCCCATTACCTGGTTTCCCCTCCTGAGCTACACGATGATTTGCTAAAGGATGAAATCAGGCTTACTGAGGCACAGTCATTTCTCAGGCTCTGTCTGAAACATAAACATGAGGGAAAAGGGATGATGGTAAAAGATTTGGATTTTTATTCCTTATCTTTATACCAGATTTTTAAAATATGTATTGATTTACACATATTACACGCAAAAATGCACTAACAAATTATACAATTACTGATAAAAACACATTTGGAAAGATACCAATAAATCCAAGTGCTTGGGAAAACTAAGCATAAAAGAATGACTTTTAATATAAAGATTAAGGATGAAAATGCTTGATAATAGAATAGTTAACCTATTTCTTACATTATAATTTGGAGAGTACTAATTTCAGTTAAAAGAAATACATGAGAAAAGATGTGGAAACAATTATACTTCTAGAGTTTATGGTTCTAGTTTAAATTTCCAGTTTCATTTATTTTGTACTTAGGATCTTACAGTATTATGCATCATATTTATTAATAATTTCAGTAGTGCAATCAGTGTGAGGATCTGTCACCCTGTAAGAACATGATTTAAAATTTTTTACTACATTCTTTTCTTACTCTGGGATCCACTGAAAGACATTACATGGATGATGAGAGAAAATACATATTTACTTAAAAAAACCTCTATACAGCAAATTTTGTTAGAAAGAGTCTTGGGATGCCTGGGTGGCTCAGCTGTGGAGTGTCTGCCTTTGGCTCAGGTCATTATTCCCAGGATCCGGGATCAGGTCCCACATCAGGCTCCCTGCGGGGAGCATGCTTCTCCCTCTGCCTGTGTCTCTGCCTCTCTCGTGAATAAATAAATAAAAACCTTAAAAAAAAAAAAGTAGGGGATCCCTGGGTGGCTCAGTGGTTTAGTGCCTGCCTTTGGTCCAGGGTGTGATCCTGGAGTCCTGGGATGGAGTCCCACGTTGGGCTCCCAGCTTTGAGCCTGCTTCTCCCTCTGCCTGTGTCTCTGCATGCCCCCCCTCCTCTGTCTATAATGAATAAATAAATAAAAAATCTTAAAAAAAAGTATTTTTTATCAAATGAAGGCCACCTGTATTCATGTGATTACATATAGTACAAAGTGTCCTATAAAGGAATAGTTTAATATTTTGTAGTATATGTAGTATATATGCAAATATAATTAAATACTATCAACCATTAAAAATTTGCGTTTAAAGAAAGATACAATAAAATCATCACAATATAGCAATAAAAATTAAGACAGAATGCTATGAAAATAAAGAACTCCAACTTTATATAATACACACACATAGAAAACAAAAAAATGTTAAAAAATATACTGTTAATGGGTTTTAGTGATTATTTTTGGTTGTAGAACACAAGCAATATTAATTTTTTTCTTTTCCCACTTTTTTGTATTTTCCAAATATCTTACAGCATATAAAAATTATTCTGTGTAATTTAAGATGCTCAGTTTTCAAAACAGTTTTTAGAGACACAAAATATAAATATGGCTGAAACAAAACCAAGAGACCAGTTTTGTGGGTTGTCCCTACCATATCCTATATCCTAAGATATAATAGCAGCCCCTGGGTGGCTCAGTTGGTTAAGCCTAGAATATAACAAGCATTATTAATGTATGTACTTTTATAATACCATGCTAAATGTATAAAATTTCTTATTCACCTTAACATAAAATACATTTTGTTTTTTCCTAAGAACAACTATAATATGGAAATGAACAGATAATATCTAATTTCTGTTGAATATGACTTTTTTAAAAGATTTTATTTATTTATTCATAGACACAGAGAGAAAGAGGCAGAGACACAGGCAGAGGGAGAAGCAGGCTCCATGCAGGGAGCCCGATGTGGGACTCGATCCTGGGTCCCCAGGATCACACCCCAGGCTGCAGGCAGTGCCAAACCGCTGCGCCACCAGGGCTGCCCAACATTTTTGTTTTTAAAAATAACAATATAATTTACATGTGACCCTAGAAGGAAAACCATGTATCAAATCGTTTACAGTGATTATCTTTGTCAGTGATGGGAAGGAGAGTTATGGATAGTAATTATAGAGTCTTTTTATGTTTTTTCTACCATGTTTCAGTTGTTTATAATAAGCACATATTCTTTTTGAAATCAGAAAAAAATAATTAAAAAGAAGTAAAAGCTCAGTAAAAACAAAGAAGCTGTGTAAATAAGATAATTTTTAAAAGGTATTTATTTCAGCCTCTGGTATAATTTAAGTTCATATGCCTTAAACCAGAAATACATATACATATATATATGACATATATATATTATCTATATATTTATATATTACATTTTTAACATATATACTTTTCTCTAGAATTTCTTGATGGAAAAGAAATTAGAAACATGGAAAGACAATTCCTAATAAATTGGAAAGCATCCAAAGATGCCAAGAAAATCAGCAAGAAAAGGAATAGTCAAACTGAAGATGCAAGTAACTCACACATAAGTAAGCAGACTGTCATTCATTAGTTGACCACTTCTAACAGAGGAATATTCTCAACAACAACAACAACAACAACAACAAATGCCAAGAAAAAAGAGGTATTTGTTAAGATTTTTGATTTAAGATTTTTTTAACTTATTTATAGTTCCTAGGAAATTTTACCTGTAATGTTTACATATGAAAATGGTAGCTACTATCAACAAAAGCTGTGTTTGGTTCATATTGAGTTTGCATCAGCTATGAAAACAGAGACATGAGGGTGGGAGAAAATATATAATTTTTTATCCGGCAAAGTGCATGATATTAATTATGCAAATGGTGAAACAACAATCAGCTATGTAAATTGTGAAACCTAAGTCACTAGTATATTTGTTTAGCAGTGCAAAAATCACATTTTCCACCAGAATACAAAATAAAAATGTATGACGACCACATCTGTGGCCTATACTCTGTGGCCTGTCCCCTTTCTTATGTACATGCCCTAACACTTGAATATTTTCATTATAATATGCTTAAGGTTACAATACAAAGGAAAGTCAACTTTCCTTGACTAACTAATCCAGCCAAGTAGAACATATAACAATTATCTCTATCATATTTGGGAGCATCCTAGAATTCCTTCTTCACAGATTCTATAATCCACAACTTTGGAATGAACCTCTTCCTCTGTTCCATGACAGTGTTTGAATGCTAACGGTCTTTCTGTTTCACAGTTAATGGGATGGGATCATAGAAAAGAGTTAGGCCAGGGAATAGGGAAAAAGAAATTGTAATAGTGTAGTGAGGCTTTATGCATGGATACCGTATCCTAGGAGCTCTGCTGCTCCAAAACAAGGAAGTTGAGGTGAGGAGAAGCAGAGGTTGAAAGGCATGGAGCTCTGATGATTTTGCCATATCATGTGCATTACATATAAACTGTGGGAAATCATTTCAAAGAGTGGGACTTTCTGAATTGACAGTATACCCATGAATGATGACACTATGCTGGCAATGTGAATTTTCCAAGATCTGAAATCTATTAAATGGACAGGCAGCATTTCTTCTCCTCTGTTTATCTCCTTCACCCTCTGCCTCTCTCCCTGCTTGTGCTCATTCTTTTTCTCTCTCAAGTCTCTCTCAAGTAAATAATTTTTTTTAAAAAAAGAGGACTACAGAAAAAATACGATAATATGAAAAAAATTTATATTCTAATAGATTATATGATTTACTATTTTGAAAAATAAACTCTAAAGTCAACTAAAATAAATTGAAATTGAAAGCTGACTAGCCGCAAAAGAAAACTATCTGAGTTTTCCTCAGGAGTACTTAATTATTCTCCCTTAGCCACTTGCAGATATCCTTCTCTCTCACCTCCTACACATTTGCCATCCCCATCTAAACCCAATGACACAGTTCTGAGCCTTTCAGATTTAATATCAGTGACATCTGTGGGTACACGTATGTAGCATACAATAACTCTGTCCTTAGGTATGTGGCCAACAACTTAACACTATTGTCTTTATACAAAGGCTCTGTTATTACTACTCAAAAGAAATGGAAAGCATTAATTAAAGTCTAGGAGATATGTATTTTTAAAATCTAAAATACACCTTCAGGTCTCTAGAAGAGCTAAGATGAACCTTTTAAAGACATCTCTGTACAACCAAATACATTATTAAGTGAACAAGAGTAAGTTTTGTACTTCCTGACCTATGCGTTTTTGCTAGCCTTGTAAATTTGGAGCTCTAATTGGGTATTATGACAAGATTTATAGAGATTATGACTTCAGACTTCAAGAATCTTATGATAAGAAATTTTGTTCTAAATATAGCCACATAACACCATATAACCCAAATCTGGAAACAAAATCAAACACTTTGGGATGCCTGGGTGGCTCAGTCAGTTAAGCATTTGTCTTTAGCTCAGGTCATGGCCATGGGATCCTGTCCAGCATTGGACTTCCGGCTCAGCAGGGATTCTGCTTGTCCCTCTCCCTCTTCCCCTCCCCCTTCTTGTGTGAGTGTGTACACCACTCTCCCCTCTCTCAGATAAATAAATAAATAAAATCTTTTAAAAAATTGTAAAAAATCAAACACTTAACAAAGTCCAAAATATATGCATATCTTTTAGCATATGCTTCTGTAGTGCTTTCTATGGAAGCATTCACTTATTCGTTTAATAAATATTTATTGGGTACTTTGGATGTGCACAGGACTATGCTGGGTGCTGGAATTAGAGGTGAATAAAACAGTTCCCGCTTAAAGGGAAATAACTGCTGGAAAGGGAGAAGGATCTATCAATAGGAAAATGATGTGGAATGTTAAGTGCCAAAATAAAGTTACGAACATACTCCAAAAACTATATATAAGTAATCTACTCCCTAAAGGTTAAACAGTCTGAAAAACTAAAATCAGCAGAATGCAGTTAATATTTGTATTAATGTTGGTGTAACCATTTTGGCTATGAGAGCTGACCATACACTTTCCTGGATAGGTTTTTATGCATGAAAGTCTGTGATATCAATTTTTAATTGGTCTTACTGTGGATCTATTTAACTTTAAGTCCATTTCATAAATTGTAATTTTGAATAATGCTGTCATAGGCCAGGTTTACAATTCAGTTATTAGTTTTAAAGCAGAACTTTTTAATTCTTTGTATGCTACAGGTAACTTTGAAACAATGCATCACATAGTTAGTTTATTACCTACAGATGGGTAAGCCAAAAGTAGTTTTTTTTTCTCTGATATACACAGATACTTTCCAAATGGAAGTGCATCTGCAGAAAGCTCCCAAGAAGATAACCCTAAAATTATTGAAGATCTGGGGTAGGTCCTTTCAAATATTTGTGTGATTTCCCTTTTTTGGGAAGATGGAACACACTGCCAACAACACAGAGGAAGAGAAGGTCCTTCAACTGTCTCCTTATTCTTGGGTCTCAATCCCTCATGACCAAGAACCCCCTGTACAAAAAAAGTTCATGGTTGGTGTGCCCAAATAATTACAGAGCTGTGGTGGAACAGCTACTTCAAGAAGAGCTAGGAGTCACTGAGATAGGGCAAGTGACTAAGGACATTCCAAGAAGCAGCAGGCAAAGAGGTCTGAATGACTAGAGGTCATATCAAAGGAGCCTGAGGCCTAGTTGATGATGGGTAGTCCACTAGTGAATAGATGACTACGCCAAGGACATCTAGTAGCAGAAAAGGAGGGGCGACCCAGAGCATTACAGAGATAGGCTACTTTCACTACTTCTCCAAATCAAAGGTTCTGAATCTGGTGTCCCTGAAGGAGAAGTTTCATTAAATTCTCAAAAGGGTTTATGATCTAAAAAATCAGTTGGAGTCACTATTCTAAACCTTGAGTATATGCATAATGTAGCTCCACATGAATCAGCTCGTAAGTTTCCTAACGAGGAGAAAATTGTGGGGATCCCTGGGTGGTGCAGCAGTTTGGCGCCTGCCTTTGGCCCAGGGCGCGATCCTGGAGACCCGGGATCGAATCCCACGTTGGGCTCCCGGTGCATGGAGCCTGCTTCTCCCTCTGCCTATGTCTCTGCCCCCCTCTCTCTCTCTCTGTGACTATCATAAATTAAAAAAAAGAAAATTGCTTTTTTAGTTTTATTTTATTTATTTTTAGACTTTTTTTTTCTTTTTCTTTTTTTTATTCATGATAGTCACAGAGAGAGGAGAGAGAGGCAGAGACACAGGTAGAGGGAGAAGCAGGCTCCATGCCGGGAGCCCAATGTGGGACTTGATCACAGGACTCCGGGATCGCGCCCTGGGCCAAAGGCAGGCGCTAAACCGCTGAGCCACCCAGGGATCCCCTGCTTTTTTAGTTTTAAAAAATGATATTGCTTCAATGTAAAGATAAACCATCCCAGAAAATAAGTTCATTTATTTATAAAATTAATAGGTACCTGCTATATGCTGGGCAATATGAATATAAAAACTCAAATGAAATAGTCCTGATCTCAAAGATCTTACAACAAGCTAGTTAGAGACTCAAATATGACTCAACTACTGTGGACTGTGTAAGTGCTACAAGCATTATAAACCGGATCCTAATACATTCTATACATTATTCTGTCAAGTTTTTTTTTTATTTATAATCAATATGATTGCTCTATTGACCTTTCCAACCATATCACAGTAGTCATTACAATACAATGAAGGGGACAATAGAATATTTCATTGAGAAAGTAATCAGAGCCAGTGTACATACTCCAGAATAGATTTCCTTTTTCCAGAACTGCTTGCTGAATGTAAAGTAGGTTTGTCATTAGATTCTGTTTGGTATATCCAGTCAAGGGATAGTGACTTAGCATTCCTTAATGGAGCTAACCTAAAGAAGACCTGTGAACAACACTGCTGCGCAATTGTACCCCCATTCCCAAGAGTGGCTTAGGCTTGCTGGGATGGAGGCATAAGGGAGAAAGGATCCTATGAGTCTGGAAAACGATTTATTCAGGCAGAGGAAAAAGGATGTAGAGTCTAAGCTCATCTCCACTCACCAAAAACAAAAAAAAAAAAAAACAAAGCAGCTGCGTGAGAGTTTGCTTATGTCCATTGCTATTACCATCAAAACCATAGCCACTCTGTCCATAGCACCCTGGTAGTTTCTTAAAAGATTTTTGTAATTAGTGTCAGTTCCACGACAGTGTTCTTCAGTTTCTTTTCTTTTCTTTTCTTTTTTTTTCTTTTTGTTCTTCAGTTTCATTTCTTTGCCAAGCATCTTGAAAGGTCTTGCTAATAGGTCATCAAGATGGAAAGGAAAACAATAAAAAATGGACAGACTCAAAACAATGTTGGTAGTAAATACATTGCCACACACACCATGTTAGATCAGTTGTGAACTGTGGCATGTATTGTATATCCTATACCTCCAAGGAAAGCTCTAATTATTAGGACTGCAGTGGCAAAACAGCAAATAAATCATTCTATCTTCATTTTCCCAACTAGGAACACTAAATACAGAGCTAAATGCATCTTTAACTACTACTGTACTGCAAAGACAGGATGCTCTAAAAGAAGTTGGAAGAATAGAGAGGTTCCCATGAGAAGAAAATAATGTCCTGCTTCTGTCACTGTCAGTGAAGTCAATTATGCTCAATCCCAAGTCTTCAATTCTATAATGTGAAAAAATATTATATAAATATTTTTAAAGCTTTTTATTTCTTCAGGTAACATTTTTACTGAAGGCATGCCAAAATATCATTTTGGTATTATAAACGATTTAAGTCTCACTAAATGGGAAGATCAGTTCTACCTCTCTGTAATAAAAGGTGACCAATATGGAATTTCATTAAGCTCTTGATTTTTAGGGGGTGTCTATTGCTAACGTTTTACTAATTTAAAGCTAACAAATAATGAGAATAAAGTAGAAGGTCACTAAAATGTTAAAGCAAAATACTCAACCCTCAGGGTGCCTGAGTGATATAGTTTGTTAAGCTTCTGAATCTTGGCTTGGGCTCAGGTCGTAATCTCAGGTTCGTAAGATCAAGTCCCTTATCAGGCTCTGCATTGAGCACAGAGTCTACTTAAGACTCTCTCCCTCTCCGTCTTCCCATCCATACAGGGGAGCCCTGTATGCGTGCTCTGTCTCTCAAATAAATAAATAAATAAATAAATAAATAAATAAATAAATAAATAAGTAAATCTTAAAAACACACATACAAAGAATAAATTCTAAAAATCTAAAAAGTCAATTAAAGTAACTCCTTCCCTTAATTTCTTTAAGGGGAGAATGAGTTAGTATTAGCAAATGTGTCCCCTATAGTGTACATTTAATGCTCAGAGGTGTAAAAAAGCTTAATCTTCTTCCAAAATGATAAAAGTATGTACCTCATCCTCCTTTAAGGTTCTACACATTAGGAACTGTGCCCATATCCTATGTGAACACAGTGCAGCAACATCTGTCCAATGACAGGGGAATGTTTTTCACCTCTTTTATAAATGCATGCAGTCTGTGCTCATGTATATTTACACAAGCCTGCTTTCCCTACAGGGAGGAAAAAGTCAGACTCACTGACGTTGTTTTGACCCTCAAACTGAACTTGATACTGTCGATGTACACTTTAATTAAAGATTAGTTCAAAACTATTTTTTATTTAAAGGCTGATTCTAAACAAATGTCTTCACTGTTCAATTAAAAATAATTTATGGTATCAAAAAGCGTACACATGATTGCTTCTCTCTGTGTTTGTCACAGTAAATACTTCTGACAGATGTTTCCTCTCTTCAAACATGCTAGGAGGTGCTTGAGACTTAGTAATTTTAAAACAGACATTAAATGCATTTACATATTGTAAATAAGATCCACTGAGAATTCTGTAGAGCAATGTACACTGAAGAAAGCAAATTGTTACTTGATTATTTATCTTTCAAGCATAAGAAATGTCCATAGAGTCAATCCATCTCTTTTGTTACTGTAAAAATAACTGTGTAGCTGGGTTAAAATACCCTTAGTTTCAGATACTTTCAAGGAATGTGAATCTCTGGGACCCAGAATTCGCAGGGAAATGTTCACTGTATATTATTTGACTATTTATAAAATACCTACTATCTTTAGTTAGAATATGGAAGTATTAGATTTCTTTGAATTAGAAAGTGAACTTTAAAAATAGTAAAAAAAAAAAAAAGTAAAAATAACTTGCTTTCACCACTGCTAAGGTTATGTTTGAACAGTTGTAACAACAGATCTTCTATGTGCCTCAAGAGTTTTTAAAACTTAGGTAATATTTTTAGTTACAAAACTCTGGGATGCTCTTATATAAACTCATCTGCAAAGCTCTAAATGCCTTTAATTATGCTATATTAAACCTAGCCTCAGTCTAATTTTATATGCAAAATAAACTATGTATCAGTAATGTAGGTATAACATTGAGACTTTGATTTCTAGTTAGTTCTCAAAGAGCCCTTCTGAAATTAGGACACCCCTCCTCAAAAAAAAAAAAAAAAAACAATAGTAGAAAGCAAAAGGTGGTTTGTTTTTTTTTTTTTTTAGAACAATCTAAGCTAGGTTTTGTGATTGCTAGTCTCAACCCTATCAATGTTTCACTCTATGAACAAGAGCTATGGAAGATCTAATTTTTAAGAATTATGTTATTACCCATTTTAAAATTCTACTTTGATACCTGAATATTCACTACCCAAATTTTTAAAAAACAGTAGAACCCTTTGAGATAAGAATATAACCAGACCTATTTTATAGACAGGGAAAATGAGCATTGGAGACACCCAGTCAGAGAGGGGCCCAGAGTTACACAACTGCCATGAGGCAGAGTTGGAACTTGAATTCAGGTCACTGACTCCAAAAGCCAAGCTCTCAACTACTCTGCAAGGGGGTCTCAAAAATGCCCTCAGATATAGGTAGGTAAAGTAAGTGAGGGAAGCAGGAGAATGTGATTGAGGTCAACTGGAGAGCACTTGTTCACCCAAAGGCACCTGCAGCTATTGTACCCCAAAATGGTGAGCCAGACAGAACTTTCTCAAGTTCTCAAACTTGAGAAATCAGACTGACAAGCAAGATATCTAGATTAAGAAATCAACGAATTTTAAAATATTGGCTCAATAATTTTTCTTTAGAAATATTATTACTGGATAAAAAGAAAGAATCTGGTAATGCTAGCAAACATAAGGAGACACTGAAACTCTTGTGCACTACTGAAGGAATGCAAAAATGGTAGAGCCACTTTTTTGTTGTTGTTTTTTAAGATTTTTTAAAATTTATTTATTCATGATAGACACAGAGAGAGAGAGAGAGGCAGAGACACAGGCAGAGGGAGAAGCAGGCTCCATGCCGGGAGCCCAACGCGGGACTTGATCCCAGGACCCCAGAATCATGCCCTGGGCCAAAGGCAGGCGCCAAACTGCTGAGCCACCCAGGGATCCCATGTAGAGCCATTTTGGAAAATGGTTTGACATAACTTTTATAAAGTTAAAGCATGTACTTAACAACATCTAGCAGTCCCATTGTTAGTCCAAGGTATTTTACCAAGTGAAATGAAAACCTACATCCATGCAAAAATCTGTACCCAAATGTGTATAGTGGCTTATTAATAATCACAAAAAACAAAACGACCCAAAGGTCTGACACTGGGAAATGAATAAACAAACTGTGGTATATCCACACAATGCAATACTACTCAGCCTTAAAAAGGAATGAACTAGGGGCACCTGGGTGGCTCAGTGGTTGAGCATCTGCCTTGGCTCAGGATGTGATCCTGGGGTCCTGGAATCAAGTCTCACATTGGGCTTCCTGTGAGGAGCCTGCTTCTCCCTCTGCCTGTGTCTCTGCCTCTTCTCTGTGTTTCTCATGAATAAGTAAAATCTTTTTTAAAAAAAGGAATGAACTAGTGATACACAAAACAACATGCACAGATCTCAAAGCACTATGCTAAGCTAAAGAAGCCAGCTTAAAAGGGTACACACTGTATGATTTTATGACATTCTGGCAAAGGTGAAGCTATAGAGACAGAAAACAGATCAGTAGTTGCCAAGACCTAGGGGAAGAATGCACAGGGTCACAAAGGAATGGGAGGGTGGGATGATGAAATGTTAAGTATCTATATTGTGGTAGTTTTTATCAAAACTCACTGAACTATATATACTCAAGATTGAATTTAACTATGTACATTATACCTTAACCAAACAATATGGGAAATAGCTGAAGGGTGAAAAAAAGCACCAATTATATAAAACCTACTTTTCATTATATATACATAATCCTTATTTTATATATATGTATATAACACAGCAATATATTTTCTTCACTGATGTGTGGGACTTAACATTATAAAGACGGTAACTTAAAGATGAATTTAGAGAAAGACAAATTTTTATTAGATTTTATTTATTTATTCATGAGAGACACAGAAAGAGAGGCAGAGACACAGACTGAGGGAGAAGCAGGGTACCTGCAGAGAGCATGATGTGGGACTCATCCTGGGATCAGGATCATGCCCTGAGCCAAAGGCAGATGCTCAACTGCTGAGCCACCCAGGCATCCCCCAAAAGACATATAATTTTAAGACCACGTTCCATGAAATAAAATCTACAGCACTCTAAAGCCATCTATTTTCTGGAAGACTAGACAAGAACTCCAAAGAATATACTGTACAATGAAAATAGTGTTTGAATAGGGTGTCAAGTTAAAATATGTCCTTTATTGAAATATTAGATACAAAAAAATGTTTTGCAAATTATGAAGAACTCTACAAATATTAAAAAGAATAGGTGTGGTAAAAGCACAAGTATTAGGGTTAGTCAGCCTGGCTTGAATCCTGTCTCTGCCACTTAGTAGCTGTGACCTTGACAAGTTACTTAATCCCTCTGAGCCTTATTTTCTCAACCATAAAATGTAAAACCCTCAAAGAGTTTTTGTAGATTAAATGAGAAAATAAAGTGCTTTTTTTGTAAAGAACTTAGCACATATAGTTAAATAAGGTACCTGTTACTGACATATGTAATGTTGAAAATTTGAATCTTTTATTATTCTATTTTTAACTTAATGGCAAATATTGGTTTCTTGTGGTAATTGAGACTACTCTGGAATCATGAGAGGATTTAGAAAGGCTCCTTAGAATGGCAGCAGGTAAGACAAGATGGCCCAAAGTGGCCAGTATTGTTTCATCAGTCCTTTCTTTTGAACCTATCAAGCAACACAGTTGTCCATTTTCCAGCCTGTTATCAGTGAGGAACTTCCCTGGTGCCCCCACCTCCATCCCACCTCCTGCACTTACAGGAGGCTTAGCAGGCCAGGCTAAGTTCAGGCAGGTGAGATGCCAAGGGTTCAAAAAATAAGGAGCCCCAGGCCACCTTCCCTACACAATTCTTATTTCCACACTTCTCCCAACATATAGATTGTCCAGATTCTTCTCCACTTTGGGGGGGGAGGGGTGACTCTTTCCACTTCACCTTTTTTTTTTTTTAAGATTTTATCCATTTACTCATGATAGACACACACACACACACAGAGAGAGAGAGAGAGAGAGAGAGAGAGAGGCAGAGACACAGGCAGAGGGAGATGCAGGCTCCACGCCAGGAGCCCGACGTGAGACTCGATTCCAGGTGTCCAGGACTGCGCCCTGGACCAAAGGCAAATGCTAAACCGCTGAGCCACCCAGGGATCCCCCTCCACTTCCTTTAAAAGCCTATAAAGGTTCACACAGTTCGGTGACTAATCATTAGCCTCTGCTATTGTTGTATCCTAGAGTCTATATGTTTGTTTCCATTTTGGATAACTTCCATTTTTGAAATAATATTCCAGGGTTTTTTTTCTTTATTAACATAGGAATCTCTCTTTGATGGAATCTGAAAGCTTGCTCACAAAAAAGTGATATACTTGAATTTCACTTTCTCTGTAACTCAAAAGTAAAAGAAAATCTGTTTGTAAAAAAATGAGTAAATTCAGCCTTAAGTGATCTGACACGTTTTGTTTTTGTTTTTACCTTTATAGTACCAGGCAATATCATCCTTCCCGGTTTGTAACTCTAGGGTATCTCGCTATATAAGAAAAACCTTTAAGCTGTTTGATTTGTTTCTTTATGGCATCTGAAACATTGCCTTTCAGTTGCTTTATGCTTCATCATGTACAATTTTTGAGAAAATAAGGATGTGCTTCCTCATTCATCAAAAGAAAGTAATCCTTTTTTTAGCCAATGGTATTTTGATAACATCCCTTTCTAGAGTGTACATCTAATTATGGCTACTGAACGGGAATTGAAGTTATTATTCTGATCCACTAATAAAAGTGTGAAATGATATATTAAATTCCAAGTGTCACCATTACTACGTCCTACTTAACAGTTCCAATTTAAAAATCTATTGTAGGGCAGCCTGGGTGGCTCAGCGGTTTAGCGCTGCCTTTGGCCCGGGCGTGATCCTGGAGACCCAGGATCGAATCCCGGGATCGAGTCCCACGTCAGGCTTCCTGAGTGGAGCCTGCTTCTCCCTCTGCCTGTGTCTCTGCCTCTCTCTCAGTCTGTGTCTCTATGAATAAATAAATAAAATCTAAAAAAAAATCTATTGTAAAGAAATTACGTCGCGTATGTAAGAGCAATTTCATCAATGGTATTTTAAATTTCATATTCTGTCTCGACTCCAAAGACTTTTAAATGTCCTGCTCTTCGAATTGAGGGCATTATTTCCAGGGCGTACTAACGAGGTTCTAGGAAATACCTGGCGTCCACCGAGGCTTCACCTCCGAAGGCCCTGGGTGCAGGACCCCGGGAACCCCAGGGTCTGGGGGGCGTCCCGGGCCCAGCGGCGTGGAGCCAGCACTGGCGCTACGGGAGCCTCACCGCACGGCTTGCAGGGCGCCCAAGGGCGGGACCTCCGGGGAGTCCCCGCAGCGGAGGCGGAGCCAGGACGAACGTGAGGTCCAAACACCGAAACAAAGCGGGGCCCCGGCGTCTGCGACTGAGGCGGCCCGCAACGATCCGCGCCCCCGCGATCCCAGGGCCGTTCACTCTGGTTTGAGGGGGAAACTGTAAATATCACAGCAGGCGCGCACTCTCCGAGCGGCTACGAACGGGTCACGGAGTCCCGAGGTGGAGCGGCCACTGCTTTCACCAGGGCAGCAGGAAACATCTACCAGGTTAGCGCATCGCAGCCGCACGCTCCACGTTTCCTCAGAAAATTAAACGGCACACGCTCCACAAAACGGCAGGGTTCCCGCCGCCTCCCGCGGGCGCCTGCCTGGGAGGCGCCGGCGCGCAGGCAGGACCCGTGACCGGAGGCCCGCGGCACAGCCGGGGAACCCGCGAGGCCGCCTCACCGGCCGCCGACACCGCGGACGCTCGACGTGCTTCGCCGGCAGTCGCGCCGCGGGGCGGACGGAGACGGGGCGGACGGAGACGGGGCGGGGGCGGGGCCACGACGACGGCCCGCCCCCTGTGGCCCCGCCCCGCCGGGCCGCTTGATTAATGACTCCCACCCCCGTCAGAGCCCCTCAGGTGGGTGCGGACGTCTGCGCGCGCCCTGCCGTCGCAGCCCTACAGCGAGCCTGGCCCACACACGCCTCGCCACGGGGGCGCCCGCATAGAAGGCGCGGCCAGCAGGGGCTGGAGGCGGCTGTCGACTTCGGCGGGACGGGGATGGAGTGACCTGTGTCGCGCGGCCCTGGCCACTCACACCCAGCTCGACGCTCCTGGCCCGCGCGTGCAGCGGAGCGGAGCCCTGCACGGCCGCTCCGGGAAAGGTGAGGACCTCGGGCCGACCCACCACGCCGCTTGGTCCTCAGGTTTGTTAGAATAGCGGGTGTCTTAGTCCAAGGTGAGGTCTGGGGGTCCCCTCTACTCCCGCAGGAATTAGAATGAGCTCCCGCCGTCACCACCTCCCCGCCGCCCCCCGGCATGCCCTGGCCTCGAGAGCGAATGGTGCGCGGGCTGCCCGCGTGGGCGCTGAGGAGCCTGGCGAGGCCAGGGCGCCCCCTGCCCCCGCGGGGCTGCCGCAGGAGTGCGAACAAGTTCCGAACCGGAGCTGTGCTCCCGACCCTCCTTCCTCGCTAGCGTAGCCCTTTCGCTTAATTTGTCCCTGAGAAGTAAAGCCGGCACCGCGCCGCTCCTGAGCCTTCTGAGCCCAGGCCCCGTCGGGCTGCGCAGCTCTCCCAACACGCCCGGGTCGGAAAGACCTCCTCTCCCAGGACGCCCGAGCCACGTCGGTGTCCCCGCCGGCCTGCAGCCGCGGCGAGAGGCCTGCGCTTGCTCGGGGTGAGCCCGACCCGCGCCGGGCCTCACCGCGCCTTGGGTCCTTTGCAGGGCACGCCGCGCGGGAAGCCGCCATGGACCGCGACGGCCCGGCGAGCAGCCCCCTGATCGCCGGCAACGAGACGGCGCCCCCGGTCGCCGCCACCCGCGACTCGAGCCCGGGCAGGGCCGGGCCGGGACCCGCGGGCCCTGGCGGCGGCGGCGCGCGCCTCGGGGGCGGGCGGCCGGCGGCGGCGAACGCAGCGCGGGAGCGCAGCCGCGTGCAGACTCTGCGGCACGCCTTCCTGGAGCTGCAGCGCACGCTGCCGTCGGTGCCGCCGGACACCAAGCTGTCCAAGCTGGACGTGCTGCTGCTGGCCACGACCTACATTGCTCACCTCACCCGCAGCCTGCAGGACGACGCCGAGGCGCCGGCGGACCCAGCGCTGGGCGCCCTGCGCGGAGACGGCTACCTACACCCTGTCAAGGTAGGCAGGCAGGGCGCCCTGCGGAGCTGGGATGGGGAGCCGGGCCCCTTAACCCTCCGGGTCGGCCACCGACTGGGCCGATGCCAGGAGCTCTCCCACTCCCCCCTCGGGGAGAGGCGGGGAACAGACCCGGAGAGCTACCTTGGCCGGCTAGGGCGCAGGTAGCGAGGTCCCCCACTGCATAAGGCTAACTCCAGAACTGTCCCCGGGTAGTGGCTTTACATCCGAGGTGGCTTGGGTAGGAGGGGTGACCCACGCCACTTACAGGATGCAGCCTACACGATGCCTTTCCTAGGTGAGAAGTTTCTCGGGAGTTCCTGGTTGGCAACTTCTAGTGATTTTTGGTATCTGATTTACATTCATGAGCTTTTGAGAGTTTTTAAAAAGTGTGCTTAATTTACATAATTACATTTCCATCGCGGTTATTATCAGATGGTTGAAAAATTTCACGAATTAAGGGGGGGGTGATAGAATTATCCCTTTAAGTAATCCAGGCAACCATGTTGAAATTTTTTTGTAGAACTGATAAGAACAAAATGAAACCGTTCTGCCATCCTACGGAGTAAATTTTCAGTCCGTTTTAATAAAGGTTAATTATCATGGGTTAGACAGTTACGTAGAATGTTAGAAAAACTATAATGCATTTATGTAATTTTCACAATAGATTGGGGTATGTTAATCAAGTTGATTCAATACTGTATTAAAATTCTGTAGTGTGCAAAATTAGATCATAGAATCCATTTCGTAGGATTTTTTACATCCCATATAGATAAAATGGTCAGGGTTGTCATTTAACATTGTGTATATGGTTGTGATTTATCACCTATATTGCAGTGTTTAGACTCTGCTTTGTTCTTTTCACCTAGATTTGATTGTTTCAAAATCCAGCATTCAGCTGGCTTTCTGTTCAAAATGCATTATCTTCCCTATATTTTCTAAACCTAAAGGTTCAAGTTCTGGGTTCTACCATTCTGAAATATTTTGCCACACATGCAAATAGAAAATTAGGACTTAGCCTTAAGCATATCAGTCAGTGTTCAATTCAGTGAATAATCACTGAAATTTCAGTAGTACACTCCCTGATATTAACTGAACTTAAAATTCTGCGGTGAGGTTTAACAGTTTACTTTGCAAATATAATCAACATGATGATAGGCTCAGACTATTTTGAATATAGAAATTTGGAATATCATTTACTTACAATTATGGTAGACCTCATTATATTCATGTGTTATACAATCTCTGCTAAAAAGTCATTCGTTATTAATTATGGGTTTTGCCCTACCGTCGGCATTAAATTGATACTCAAATATATCATTAATATTAGATTTCTGTTGACTCAACATTTCCCATATACTCTAAAAAAGTTTAACATTAAGTAGACTTTAATACAGAAAGCTTTTGTTAAATGCCTCTGTGGGATATAGAATTCAGGGAAGAAATCAAATTGTTTCACCTTTGTTTCTTATAGTATCTTTGTGAATGAATACTGTTAATAATTTTCGTGTAACAATAAGCTTAACAGGAGTTGATTCTTTTTGTACTTGATTCAGGCACCAAATGTTTTTGTAGTTTTACAACTCTTTTAAGAAAAATAAAATCTCCTCTGTTCTTAAATCAATTATTTTTATTTTAAAAGACAATTCTAGGGATAATGAAACAAGGTCAAGGATTACCTCTAAAGTGAAATTGATGATGGTTGAACAAGTGACTAGTCTGTTTTAAAATCATTTACTGTGTGTCTACAGTTAGGAAAGTGAATACAATTAAGAGTAAGACTCAGCCCCTGCCCTAAATAAATATATAATAGAGACAAAGACAAAAATAAAATAATACGGTAAGGGATAATGTTCTGTGTGCCATAAGAAAGCTATAATCATGTGCTTGTGGAGGTTTGGAGGAAAAAGATTTCATACACGTAATTGAAACCACCTGTAACACATTATTTTACGGATATTACCAAATGCTTAAGTATTAAGTCTATCTTTGATTAATCTAATGCAAAAGAAATAAAAATATTCTGATTATTTGTATTAATTTTTAGTTAATTAAGGGTGTTGTAACCCTTAGTTTAAAAGTGTTCCAAGATGACTTTTTTCTGCCATTAAGTATCACTATGTCTTTGATGATTAAAGATCTGTTAACAAATATTTCAAGGCCAGGATTTTAAGTCATCAGTCCTTATTATCTGTATCAGTCCTTATTTGGGGGAATTTACATTAAGAATATCTCATGAAACTAGAAGGTTTAAGTGACAGGGATCCTGGGGAATAGCCTAAAACAGCAGTTTCCGTCCCTTTGGGATGTGAGCAATTTGATCAGCACCAGTGTACCAAAGGGCAATGATCCTCTAAGAGAACAGGGATATATTTTTCAGATTCTTTTATTGGGAGAAAAGTACAGATGATTTTATTAATTGCATTATCCCTGGAGAATCACTATTGATGATATACATATAAAATAATTTTAAAAATAAATACAAAGTTTTGTTATTTTGGGGTCATTTAACTCCAGAATTCAAGAGCACATTTTTAAGGTTTTCAGGTTCAGTTCCATTAATTCTGTGAGTTTGCTAGATTGTTATAAGCCTAATGAAATATGGTTTTAAATAAACTTTATTAGGTAAAATAGAGGTCAGGATTATGTTAATCTACACAATGTTAAAACATTCCATTGAAAAGTGAAATGTAAAACAGTCTACTGGCTTTTTTGGCATGATACTGACATGCAGCCTAACCAATATTTTATTTACATTTTATTTCTGACACTTAAACTATGTATGTACATTAAATTTAGTTGAATAAAATTATTAGAAGCCTTTTGGAAAATCGAAGTACACAGTTCTTCAAGTTTTATTAAGTTTGTGAAAAATGAGGCAAAAATTCACATATATATATATATATATGTATATATATATATATATATATATATTTTAAGATTTTATTTACTTATTCATGAGAGACACAGAGAGAGAGGCAGAAACACAGGCAGAAGGAGAAGCAGGCTCCCCATGGGAAGCCCGATGTGGAACTCGATCCCAGGACTCTGGGATCACAACCTGAGCTGGAGGCAGACACCCAACCACTGAGCCATCCAGTCATCCCAAGCATTAGGTTTTTATGCTCATGAATATGACACAGGAATTTAAAAGTTTGAGAGGCACAGGTTTATAACATGCCAAAAATTCTACACTTGAAATTGATTATTTTAGCCCTACACTATTCACTACAAGTATTATTTCTGCTTGGGCTGCAATAACAAAATATCATCGACTGAAAGGCTTCAAAAACAGAAATTTCTTCTCTCATAATTCTGGAGTCTGGAAAGTCTAGGATCAAGGTGCTGGCCAATTGCATTGTTGGTAAGAGCTCTCTTCCTATCTTGCAGTTGACCAACATCCCTCTTTCTCAGGAGAAAGACGCTTTCTCTTCCACTTCTTAAAAGACCATTATACCATTATGAAGGACTCGCCCTTTTAACCTCATTTAGCCTGAATTACCTCTCCAAACGCCATCATTTGGGAGTTAGAGCAAGAGCATCAACATATGAATGGGGAGGACAAGGCCAAGACGCAGTTAGTCCATAACACTATGGCAGAAGGTTCTTCAGTATAATGCAGGACTTGAATCTGATCTAACATCAGCTCCTGACATATCAGAAAAATGCCAGATCAGTTTCTAAAATCCCTCAGGTTATCGATCCATGATGGCAAGAATCCCAAAGACAGGACCCGTGATACACCCAGAATGTGTAAGAATGCACATCTCTGATTTATAAAAAAATACCACAAACCTGAAATGAATGCAAAAACAAGTAGCACAGTGTCAGTCTTACTACTGTATCAAATGTAAAATACAAGGTTGTTTATAGGAAGACTATACAGGAGTAAATAATTATAAATTCTAAGTAATGTAAATTTTATAGTTTATCTGTGTTTAAAGTATAGATTTACAGCCAGAATTATCTGAATTTAGGACTCTAAAATGGACCTGAACTGCATGAGAGAGCAAATTCACTTATTATATCTGGAGGCATAAAAATAGGACTTTTGTTGGTTGTGCTAAGAACAGAAACTTCCGGATGATGTCACGTGGAATGCCAGTTTAGGTGATACTAGCTGTACTCAGAAGTACAATCCGACTCCACCTTATACTCAACTTCTGCAAAAAGAGGTCCATTCTGATTTAATTGGTCTGGTGTATGACTTGGCCGTAAGTATTTTTTAAAGCTCCCCAAGTGATTTTAATATGAAGTGTGGGTTAAGAATCTGCAGTTCTTGGGATGCCTAAGTGGCTCAGTGGTTGAGTGTCTGTCTTTGGCTCAGGGTGTGATCCTGGGCCCAGGGGTTGAGTCCCACATAGGGCTCCCTGCAAGGACCCTGCTTCTCCCTCTGCCTATGCCTCTGCCGCTCTCTCTGTGTCTCTCATGAATAAATAAAATATTTTAAAAAATTAAAAAAGAATCTGAAGTTCTTATGGTCTTTACCTTGTTAATGATTGTATCTCTATTTGAACACTGCAGATTATCTGTCAGGCATTTAAGAATATTTAATAGTGTTGTGTAACCAGGAGTGGGCTTGTGAATGTTTGATGATAAAAATAGCCTACTACTTACTGCAGCATTTACTCTCTGGAGAGTGTTGGATCCCGTTGCTGACCTTTGGGAGTTGCACTTTACTAATCCAAAGACTTCTCTTAGGCAGCCGGGGTAGTTCAGTGGTTTAGTGCCACCTTCGGCCCAGGGCGTGATCCTAGAGACCTGGGATCGAGTCCCATGTAGGGCTCCCTGCATGGAGCCTGCTTCGCGCTCCGCCTGTATCTCTGCCTCTCCCTCTGTGTCTCTCATGAATAAATAAATAAAACCTTAAAAAAAAAAAAGACTTCCCTTTGTATAAAAGTAGTATTTCTCTGACTAGTTTTCCAAGGACCTTAGAACTGATTATCAGACACCCCTCCCCCCAAAAATATCTGAAAGTACTAGTTATGTAATATGTTTTTTTTTTTTTTATCACTGGGTCTATTTGGCAGTAAGTGATATTATTTTTTAAAGGTCCAATTTTAAGGTGAGTTTAGAAAAATCTCAATTAGAATACAAATGTGATCATTACTGAAACATGAATGCTGTGTGATCCTGCTATATCCAGATATTTATTTTGGGCATTTTATCTACATAACACCAAATATTCTAACATTCGCAACATCGAAATACCACTTTTAGCTAGATGATTTTTTTTTTAAGATTTTAATTTATCTGAGAGTGAGTGAGTGCAGGGGGAGGGGCAAAGGAGAGGGACAAGCAGATTCTGCCATGAGTGTGGAGCCCACTCAGGACTCGATCCCAGGATCCTGAGATCATGGCCTGAGCAGAAACCAAGTTGGACACTTAATGGACTGAGCCACCTAGATGCCCTTAGATAAATAAAATGTTTAAATAGTTGAATTGGTCACTTTTCCTTATACTTCTGTGACAAGTGAGAACATAAAATATTTACTATGTATAACTCCTTAAAATATCTTTAAAGCCAGAGATCTTGTTTTAGGCTTAATTTTGTTTTAGGTTTAGTTTTAAATTAAAATACTGTTGATAGATATATTTTCCTCCACTTAACTATATTCATACTCCATGACTTCTTGAAGTTCTTGTCCAAATGCACCCATATTATTTTCTACAGTTATGATCAAAGTCTTGGCATATTTTTACTTTTATTGTTAGCATTAATAAACATTTTTTCATGTTGTTCCTCAGACTTTTCACAATTACAATTGTTACTAGCTTCATGGTATTGCATTTGCCTTGAGGCAATCGGAATTTTTGATATTACTATAACAGACATTATCTGTCATAGATACTAACTTTTGGATTCTTGTTTTAAATGTTCTTTTTCAGAAATGGCCCATGCGATCAAGATTATACATTGGTGCTACTGGTCAGTTTCTGAAGCATTCTGTGTCTGGAGAAAAAGCAAATCATGGCAGTACTACAACAGACTCACAGCCTTAGGTTTTGCCCTGGTGGGTGCTAGTACAAAGTGGCATCTATTGTTTCTAAATAGTAGGAAATCATTCTGTATTTATTACATCAGACAACAAACATCATTCCTGAAAGTTTACATATGAATCCATAGTGGGAAGTTCAGATTTACCTGTCTAATTTAAATAAATGTGGGTTGAAATAATCAGTCTTATATAAAATACACAGCTTATCTATCCATTGTGAGAAATAGTTACTACTATATAGTGCAAGAAAAAGTATAGAAAAAAAGAAAGACCTCAAAATCAAAGAATTGTGAATATATCAAAGAATGCACATGTCCTCTGTAGTGTATCTATTACACACTGAAAACCTGATATCTATCAATAATTTTTATAGTTTTAAAAAAAAATTAGACACCAGTATTCCATTTTTGTGAAAACCAGTTTGTGCTTAAGTTGGTCTAAGAAGTCATTTCAGTTGGAAAGTGTGAGATCATTTATTCAGTTTTAGCTGAAGATATGGAATGAAAAGATTGTTGGGGTAATATGAAGTTTCAATAACTTCTGCAACTAGTGATTTTTCTCTCAGTAAACTTGTTTGGAGTATTCGAATACTTTATTGGATAGAGCTTGGCCACCTTTCCTAGATAACTATGAAATGCCATGTTTCCAAACCGTGGAAGGCTTTGGGAATCCCTGAAGCCCAGTGTGAACAGCAGGTGAGTGTCACCGGGCAGCAGAGTTTGTCACCCTCCTCCCTGTCATTCCATATCCATCTCACCCTCTTTCAGGTCCTAGACTAGATGAGCAGGTGCAGCTGCAGCCACTTAACAGAGAGTCAACCTGTCACAGGACTTCTCCCCCTTGCCAGGTGCTGTTCACAATCTACTTGGCCATTATGAAATAGGAGAAAACCTGTCTGATTTGGGAATTCTGGCACGGATCTGCACTGTGAGGGGAGTCTGAGGACACTGAGTGGCTACCCTGGGCTAACCTAGGCCCAAGTTTATCCCCCTGAACCTGCCCGCAAACTGAATCCGCCCCAGGAATGTCCTCTGCGATGGGCCTCTCCCACTGCACTCCACACCAGATGCCCAGGGAGCGGCTGCACTGCCAGACTGTGCCAGTTTTAGTTTCCAACAGGAGCTCGGGGATCAGAGCCAGGAAGTAGAAATGTTGGTCGGGGAACACACTGAACCCCAAGCAGGTCTGTTGTCATGTCTTGACTCTCTTTCTTCTTTTTCTCCTCAGTCTCTACTATTCGTCTTTCAACTGTAAAGTTCATTTCTTTCTCAATAACCTAGTGTTAAAGTAGCTGAATTTGATCCAAGATTAGCAAACAGAAAAGTATAGTAATGGACTTGGTTGAACCGCTTAATATAGCTGTTGAACCATCATTTTATTTTTCTCCTCCCTGCAGTTTTCTTCCAGCTCTTGGCAGCGAAATGAGGTAAAAGATCATTTGAAGGCAAAAACCATCACTCAATTGATTCAGCCACACATGGCCATATCTTGGCTAATATCTGATAGCTTATAATTTTTATTATTTTAATGTGAATACGCCTTGTAATGTGACCAAAGCATGTCTTTACAAGAAAAGGCATATAATAAAAACTTTCTACATATTAATAGGTAGCAAAAATGTTTATATATTTAAATATTTGTGAATATATTTACCCACTCATATAACATTGAAAGGAATAAAATGTAAAATGAGATATGAATTCAGCCATTCACTATTGTAAGTTATTGCCATAAAAAGTGCTGAGAATAATCTTTTATCTTAAGGAATGAAATCAAAGTTCTTTAAAGTTACCTACTGAACTCTAAATGCCACATTTAATACCAAGAGTTTCAGAAAAATGGTTTTCTTGCTAATAATCTATTTGGCTACAGTTGTTAAAGCATTTAATTGGGTTAAAACTATGACTTCTGTTGAATTGCCAGACTTCCCTAAATCATCCTGTTAAATAGTTAAGCTTTGCCTTTGGCAGTATTACTTTTTATTTCTTCTTGTCCACTTACAGAAAAGAAATGTTTTAATGCCAAAAAAGTATATTTCTGTCATAGGTTTTCATAACATTTCATTAAATTGCTAAATATGCTAACAGCTTTTGGTAGATTGGAAGATCTCAAGGGAGAAGTTGCATATTTTCACCCAAAGATTGAAAGGAGCATGTTGTTTTAATTAATGGTGCATGGTCAGGGTAAAGGTATTATTAAAATAAAGCATTAATTTGAAAATTAATTTAGTCTGTTAAATTTGCATCTGTCTCTTGGGGTATTTAACAAATATTAAGGTACTTAAGGTACATCTGAAATCTTTCCAGAAGATAGATAACTATTTAGCATTAACGTCTTCACCGTGCTTCCCTTAATGGAGTATCTATTAGGACCAGGGAGAGGAGGTTTATTTGGATCATAGTATTATCCTACAGTCTACAAGGGAAATCCTAAATTTCTGTCATTTCACTCAGCTCTCAGCAATATGACATACATTTAAATTCCTCTAATGAATATTTTAGAGGATATGGAAGTGTCTGTTTAGAAGTATAATCAGTTACAACAGTCTTTAAAAGTATTGTTTCCTTTTCTGATTATAAAAATGCAATGCTGTTTATTATATGTTGATTATGCATCAATAGTTATACTAAAAGTATGTATATATAGATATTCCCTGTTTTAAAAATTAAAACTTAATAATAAAAGGGGTAATGTGGCAAATAGAAGTCCTGCAATTGAAGAGGGTGTTTGGGATATAGAGTAAGGGTGGGGAAATCTAATCACACGTTACCTGGTAATAAAGATGGGTTTTGCATTTTTATAAGGCATATTTGGCCAAACTACTTCAACCTGCAGTTATAGATATTCTAAACAGTAGTTTTTTATCTATTCACGGAGACTTTATTTAAACTTAGAAGAAGCTGTGCAAAAAAGAAAATAAATGCTGATTGACCTTACTGAAGTACCCACTCATTATTTTATTAAAATTGTTTTTTGGTCAAATTATTCAATAATTTCTCTTTCTCTCACAGGTCCTCATTTTATATTCATGAAAGCAACTAACCAGTTATTATCAAGAAAAGAGAAAGTATTCAGACTCTAGTAAGATCTCTCTCCCTCTGTTTGTCTCTCTCTCTCTGTTTTTTAGTGGGGAGAGAATTCTATATTTTCAGCACATCATTTATTTAAGCCTTAGGGTACCATTCTGAGGAAATAAGCCAATACAGACAAAACATTTCTGTAGTGGCCTACATGATTCCCTTAAAAATCAACACATGAATTGTATCTGATGTAATTATAAGACAAGTTGCCTGTTGGCTCCACATAAAATTGTATTCTTAGCTGGCAGGGAGAAGAAATTGTAAATCAAACAGATTGCTTCTGATCCAAATTTATATATTAGATATCTTACTTTGAGAGGATGGCTTAATCCACGTGCTTTTTCCCAACTATGTATAGGTTATTGCAGATTATATCGTATATTTTATTTGAAAAGGTATGAACTTGGACTCTTCAAGCATTGGCAGATTCTGTTTTCATCTGGTAACATTCTTATTTTTTTTAAAGATTTATTTATTTGAGAGGGAGAGAGAGCACAAGTGGGAGGGGCAGAGAGAGAGAGAATCCCAAACCTATTCTCACTGAGCTCGACAAAGGGCTTAATACCAGGACTCTGAGATCATGACCTAAGGTGGACGCTTAACCCATTGAGCCACCCAAGCACCTCAAATTCTTTTTATTTTTTTTTTAAACATTGCTGGAGGATGCGATCTCTACAGTTTCCTAAATGACTTACAACTAGTAGTGTACTATTGCTCTCTTTCTCCATGGCACACTATTTTTTTTAAAGATTTTATTTATTTATTCATGAGATACAGAGAGGCAGAGACATAGACAGAGGGTGAAGCAGGCTCCCTGCAGGGAGCCTGATGTGGGACTCCATCCCAGGACCTCAGGATCACGCCCTGAGCCAAAGGCAGACACTCAACCGCTGAGCCACACAGGCATCCCACACTTTTGATTTTTTAGTTTTGTTTTTGTTCTTATGGTAACTTTAAAAATATCCCAAGCTAAGATTCCCAATTTTTAAAAGTAACACTAGGGAAATACAGAATTGTGTATCTCAAAGAAATCAATATGTACCTCTGTTACATACTGGTAGCAGCATAAGACTGTCTTACTGGGGAAAAAAATGCCCCTTAAATCCTATAGATTTGTTTCCTATAAACTTTGAGAACAGCACAGATGGTACTGCTGCACAGTTGGGAATGTGGGACATTAAGTATTCTTGCCTAACTATATAAACCCGGGAAGGTCTTCCCTTCCTATGTTTATACAAGTCTTAGTTTTAATTCATAAGAGAAACCAGCTCAGTGAAATATACCTCCGTCACTCAAACTCTCATTATAAATTGTACCATAGCATTCAGCTGTCAGAAGCTTTTAAATTATAAACTGAAGAATAATCTTAACTATTAGGCTTAAAGATTATGTCAATAGTCATTTCCTGTGCATATGAATGTTACTGAAGAAACTCGTGCATTCCTGCCTTCTCAGAACAAGAAGTATGTCCATGGGGAGCTCTGGAGGCAGACTTAAATCACTTGTCTCCATTTTTATGGTCAATATGAGGTCTAAATAAGAATTGATCTTAAACATTCTTATTTTCTAGTAAGTTCTGAAATGGCTCAATTTAAAAATCTTTAATGTGTGCTATTATAAAGCATCTTAATGCTTTACATAGATGCATATATAATATGGATCAGTATTTTTTTAATTAAGTTTTTTTTTTTTAAAGGCCTGTGCCTGTGTTTCTCCTTCGTGTGCAGCACATCTGTGCCTCTTGTTGATTGTTAGCCTCTATACTGGAGTCCTCTTGAAACATAGGCTATAACCAAGTGGAAAAAGTGGTGTCCAATGGCAGAAACAGGAGAGTCAAGAGAAGGAAGAAAGTGGGAAGTGGGAGGCTATTTCCAAATCCTCCTTTTGGAGAGAGAAGGCCAGTTCTACCATGGAGCCAATCAGACTTAAGAGTGTGTTCTGGGATGTACAGGAGAGACTGCCTTCAAATATATATATTTTAAGATTTTATTTATTAGAGC